TTGTCTCTTAAGGCTGCTCAGTGCCCTACGTACAAGTAAGACATTTATTTTTGCGCACTAGCCCTTTCGTGAAGAAAAACAGCACAAAATAAAATGGTTCAGGCTACGAAATAAGATGAATAACATATTGGTAACCGGAGGACTGAAGCATACTCCGAAGTAAAGTTGTAGCCGAAAAAAGCGCGACACCTACCAGTGAGCTGCTCAAAAAGATAGTTGACAATCTTTTCCACAGTAGGCGCTTCCGCCATTGTAGCTAACGCCGCGACACCGGCTATCGCTGTCATCCTCATCTCTTCTGATGTTGATGTGATAGAGGCTAAAATCTACTATAGAAAAATGCGAGCCAGGAGTTGACAACAGGAAGAAACTCTCACACGTTAGTCCTTTCAGTAGGTCGTTCACAAAGTCGTCAAGCGAATGTTTGGAAGATTGAATCGCTTTCACAATACCTGAATCATTGAATGAAGGAAGTACGATCTCAAACCTCTGAGGAGCACTGCAGGAAATTACCGAATAGTGCCACCTCAGGACTCCGCAGCAGTGATTTCTTGATGTTTGGCAACAAATGATCACGGAATTCCGAGGCTGAAATGGAACTTAGACCTGCACCGCAGAAGTCCTGAAAGGAAATGTTTGATCACAACTAGCTGGTGGGCTCATAGTAAGAACAAAAAACCAACGATGACAAACTGCTCCGGCCTGGTCTTCGGAAGAAGAATTGATTTGGAAAACATGTCCAGGTATAAATTATGATCGATATCAGCTTGCATCTTGAATACGTAAAGTATGAAGACAAATCGAAGAAGAAAAGTCTGATGACCCTACCTTGAGGAGGAATGTCATTAAGCAGACCATCTTCTTGGCAGATGAAGGATCCTTACACACTTCTGTGATCCCTTCCTTCAAGCGGTTAGCTTGAGCATCATCACGAATCAACTTTCGAAGCTTCGAAATCGGCAATTGTCGAAAGCCCTTCTTTCTCCAATATCCAATCATTGGTCTATCGTTCCCACGCAGCATAATAGTGACGGATCCGCACAGCTGATACTGAAAACAAGTGTGACACACAGTGTACACCAGTCCCTTTGTGGCTGGTTCGGTTGAGGAGGCGCATTTTGCACTTCCGCTAGCTTTTTCGTAGCTGATTTTAAGTAACAGGTCTTGATGCTAAGACCTGTCATCAAGTGTAAAGCTGCGAAATGGTACAAGTGAGCCACTTTAGTTGCAAAAATTTTCAAGTCCTCACAAGGTGGCATGTACGGGCTTTGCGGAGTACCATTTCGTCTCAGCAAGCCATAATGGGCTCAATACAGCCCTGCGTCAATGTTTTAAGATAAAACGAAAGACATCAGTTACGCACTCAGAAAAAAAAACTAACCAGTTCGGGAACAGCTGTGTCGGCAACTCCTGGAAAGTGTCGTAGGAATCCATTTCGAAGGTGAAATCTGCCGTACCGGCAATACTTTCACTGTAAAGGAGTGTTTGTGGGAGAAGAATCAGATATGCTCATCCAGATATGATTTGCAAGTAGAACGTTCAAATCTATCGCACAGCCCCCACCAAACCGACATATGTAGAGAGCGCTCCAAAGGGAAGTATCAGTAGCATGGATTTAGCGTTCTGGGAAAACAGAATGAAAGAATCGTTGAATCGACGTTCCGGGAGAACGCGCGTTCTCTCCGAATCGCTAGCGTCCGATGTCGATCGATATCTATACTTCTTTGACGTGCGTTCCCAAAGTCAATCCGCCGATCATCTCATTCCCTTGTCGTCAAGTATGAACGCACACTGCTGCTTCTTTATCGAGTAATGCTAAGGTTGTATTCATCGTTTGAGAAATGGATTATCGGTGATTCGGGAAGATCCGTGATCGTGAAGAATTGGCAACAAAGTAATGTATACGTATATGAACGATTAAGTGATGTATACGGCTCAAATGCAAGTCCGTTTAATCGGGGACAAAAGGTTGGATCAGCATCGATTCGCTCCACCCACAAGCAATTCGCAAATTTTCTGAACCCATTTAGTTCCTTCTCAGCGATTCTCGAATCGCGGATTCTCCACAATCATAAATTGTGAACGGAATCTTCTCTTTTTGCGATAGAAAGATGAAGGAGTAAGTCTTCACTGCTAATTAATCCTTTCATGCATTCTACATCCACAGAACCGTAGTGGCTTGCTTATTGAATGCCACAGGTTTGCAACAACAACAGCGGGGGGTCAGATGATGACAAGTCAGT